ACGGTAACCTGGTTGCCGAGTTCACGAAGTGAATTGGCTTGTTTTACAACGTCGTTGCCAAGCGACGAAACCCAATCCCAATGGCAAACACCGGGGGGCGGCGGCTTGTTTTACAACGTCGTAACAGGGGAGGGAAAAAAACACAAGACTCTTCTACCTGATGCCGTTGCAGTTGATGCACTTGAAAAAGTACTTATAAAAAGAGGAGGAGGAGTAGCACTTGATGCAAGGCTTGTGAGGACTCCAGGTGTAACGCTGCCCTTCACACAGGTCGCACGGCGTCGAGAACACCCCTCCAAGACCCTTGATCTGCAGGACAAAGTACCAAAAACGTGCAAGGGTTGCGCCAAATAGAGGAAGCCGTGAACTTTTAAAGCAGCCCTTGTGTAGGACGCCATTTTCTCCCGAGTCGGACGCTTTTTACGACGCTGCCGTACGGCAGCAGCTTCGTCGGCAGGCGGCAAAAGCGCGCCAACGTCATCCGTGATAAGAATCCTTCGACGAAAAAGAAACCATCCTCATCGGCGAGACTCTCTTTCCCCGTGTACGTAACAAAATCTACGATTATATATATGCCCGGCGTCATCACTACCGTCCTGACAGCAATGTATCACGTGGGTCCCATGGCTTACACACAACAAGGCGCTCGGTGCGGTGAACAGGGAACCCTCGCCGCTGCAGTCACAAGTTCGTGGGGTGACCTTCTGCGCCAATCCAGCACAACACGCACAAGAAGCGTGGACAAACGTAACATTGAGAGGATTGGCTGACACGAGCCCAGCTTACGTCTCACCTGTCCAGTGGCCCGACACTTGGGGCACGGCAGCGGCTTGTCGATGAGATACTTCAACCCGTGGCACAAGCGGCAAGTGCTCCATTTCAACCCAAGCCACGACGGGAACCCTCCCTTCGGAACGCCCGGAAACCCAAACAATCCAGACGGAACGAGTTGTTACTCGATGTATTTTGGAGCCCACACGAAAGCACTTGTTGTGATATCCGTCGGCAACACGGAAGGCGTCCGGGTTAGTTGGATCGGTACGGATGATGGAAGGTACCGAGGGGGGATCGGAATGGTCTCAATGTCAAAACAAACACCACTAGAGGAGAGCAACACAAGAGGCAACGGAGAGACGGGGGTAGGTAGGGGGCACGCCGTCACCGTCGTGTTCGAAGAAAGACGTTCTCGAGTTTGTCGTCGACACCGGAACGGTCGACAACAACCGACCACCCTCTTGCAGGCAGCGTGAACTTCATTTTCTGGTGCGCAGCAGCGCGCTTCTTACCGATACAGTAGTCGAAGGGTTCAAACGGCGATTGGCCGGTGCGTGCAGCATCTGGATACTTCGATTCGCCCTCAGCATGGGCGACAAACTCGCATGCTAAGCGTTGTGGCGACAAGACGTACGTGCGGGTACAGCTGACCGCCATACTTCGCTACTCAGACGTTATTGACCCCTGCAAATCGGGAAGCATGCATGCCTCGATACCACGTGGAAAGCGCGCACACTCAAAAGACAGCACCGCAGCTCACGGTGGCGTTGCAACACGGGCAAGGGTTTGGCTCTGTCCGCAGGAAGCATTTGCCGTGGCAGAGCGCGCAAGTGGTGCCGCCAAAGCCAAGCGTGGTGCCGGTCTTGCCGGAGCCCTCGCAAACCGGACACCTCGTCATCTGAACCGTCGGTGGAGAGTGCATGTTGCACACCTGCGGCGAAAGAAATAGAGTGGTGCGAAAAACCCGCAACATTAAAAGGTACGAAGCGCGCCTCCGGAGTGGGCTCATCAGAGCATAGTAGTACACTAGTGTCATCACGGCGTGATTTAAGATGAAAATGAAAGCAGTGTTGGTATGATTCAACAGCCATCTGCCAACAGTGACGTTTCACATGCTCGAACAGCTGACACGGCTGGGGTGTTTTCGACAAGAAGAGCCCGGCGAACCTCAACAAACCCGAAAAGAAAAAATTCAATAATCTGTACACAAGTCATACAGGGCAGACACCAGACCGATTGTTGAGGTGAAGACATTAACAATGACACAACAACAAATGTGACGAGAGGTCAAACACAAACAACTTGCTGCGAGGGTCAGCAAAAAACAACCACCACTCCTGTTTCTGGGTCTCCGTCACTCTCGCCTACGTAGGTGCCATTGATTCAGAGGCAGGACCCGGATTATCTTTCGCAAAGCCCGCGCGTCGTTGTCACGACCAAGTCGTGTTTCGAGACTGGAAGCGCGGCGTCAACTTACGACGCAAAGTTTCGCACTGCGAAACACCACGTGTCGTATCGAGGATGAATGGGACGTTCTCGGCTGCTTGTTTTCGTTCCCTCCCCTTCTCGTCAATCCCGTGACTTGCCTTAGCTGTTGCCACCCTTTCCTCGGGTTGTCCCTTCCCAATTCCTGCAAACTGTGCCCAGGGTCAAGCTCACCCTTGTCCTCGAGCAAGTGGATTTTGTTTCATTGCCTCAGGGGCACATTTTGGCTCCGTAGCAGGGAAATTATAGTAGCTAGTATATTCCACAACAATAGCCATCGATCCATTAAATGTGTGCCTGGTACAAGCGACCATTACATGGCGGCCTGAACAACCCATACGTACGTCTAGACTCATGCCAAAGAGAGACCCTTTCAGGTGCGAGGAAAACGATTCATATTCCAAGTCACCCCGCTGAAGCATGAGCGGGGAATGACTCGGGCAGAATAATCCTCCAATATGTTCTACCGCAAGAGATCGGAGCTCGCGATTCGAGCGAAACGGCTGCTGTAGAGAAGACGCACCCGTGGTATCACTGTAAACAGGTTCGGACGGTACGAGTGCTCTAGACAGCTATCTGCCCCTCAAACCACCCGGGGAGAGCGCACAGAGATACCTACTTTATCGCCGCAGCATGACAAATCGTCACAGGCCCAAAAGGCATGCCAGCGGGTTGTATGCTAGCATGCCCAAATGCCAATGCCTGGATGGGGACGTGGCAAAGAAAATACAGCACTTGTATACCTCGAACTAGTATGCATAGTCACGGAGTAAGCTACTGCTTGAAGTCTTGCAGAGGGCCGTGGATACAACCAAATGGATCCAAAATGGACTGTGCTTCTGTACATGGATCGGGATCATTACTGAGGGTGCGAGCCCCTCTCTCTGTGAACGACTTGTGTTTCTTCTTCTCTCTTCAGGATTTTGTGAAGTGATGAAGTGTAAGGACCGGCGGCGATGCGTTCCAAGTTTGGACACATGTATTGGACACGCGACCTCAGCCGTTACCATATACCGTACACGTGACACAAGATACCACACCCCATGGACCGAAGCTTGAGTTCTCCACGACGAAGAGGATGCATCAATCAAACGAGGCGTTGCCGGAAAGCTTTTGACGAGACGGTTCCTAAACTGCTATTTCCGGCACCGCCAACTCTGTGTGCTGTGGGGCAATCGAGCTTGGAAAAATGGTCCAAGGGATGTGGTATCTTCCGTCAACTACAGAGCGATGCCGGTTATCAATCTCGGTGGAACCCTCGACTCTTTGAGCAAGAGAGCGATGGCGTTGCGAACAACGACAGGCGAATCAAAGGATGTAACAGAACTATGGGTCAAGAAATGATTCCTCTGCTGCTCTGCTGTGATTAAGGAACTCCGACAGGTGGAGCAGAGGGGAAGCCAAACTTTTTGATGTCTTCGTTGTGAGAGAGGCGATAAACTCTCATGCTGCTCCTATGGGTGACTGAACTTAATACAAGCTCCACTACCACCGCAGGGTGTGACTCACCTCTCTCTACCAACACGTTGTCCCCCTGCCTGTCTGTGTCAAAGGCGGAGACGGCGGAACCGGGCGGCCTGCGGTCTGCGGCGGTGAGTGTGTGGGTGTGCGGGCTAATAACTACATCGCCTGGTTGGGGATTCCGTGGACTAACGTGAGGCATACCCCTCTCCTAAAAAATAAGTCCCCATGGGCATCGTGGAACTCAGCGGATTCGCTGTGTGTGGGTGTGTGCTCAGTATACTGCCCGCTCGCACAGCGAACCAGAAAGATCCTGTGAATGCAGGAGAATAGCGTGGGGGGAGTGCTAGCTGTTATTCGCAAGTGACAAGGCCTGGCTGAAGCAAGGATAAAGGCGCAGGTGTGTTCACAATGGTTTATTTTTGCTGCAGCCACCCCCCACCTCCTCCGCTCTGCCTCTGCAAGTGTAGACTCTAGTTCTACATACATACGTCGACATCATGTCGTTTGCAATCAAGCTTGTGCTTGTATCCATTCCTCCATCTCACGTCACTGGCCTCGATGTATCTGGAGATCTGGTCACGCAACCACTGCTACGCTGTGCATTTCTGTAGCGTGGTAATGCAGCGACGTTTGTATCGTTCCGTCTCACCAGTCGGAAACGAAGAGAAATTCAGAAATTCTCACTCGCTCAGCCGGTACAGCAGTCACTGACCACCACACTGATGGGAGTGTGCGGCAACAGCACATGATGCCGGGCATATGTTGTGAGGCATACTTAGAGGGGGCATAACACCGATCATCGCTGCTGCTCAAGACTGTGATGCATCCTCGTGTTCTCCCAGCAGCGAGAGTGCGAGAGTCGGAACAACATGCCGACACGGACGTGAGGTACAGAACTTGCTTAGGGACAAGAGCGAGTTCAACCGCAACATTCGAGGGACAAAGGGCCTTTGCGTGCAGCGAATCAGGCACACACCGTAGTGCCTGCACAGTCAGATCACTAGCGTCCCAGCGCCTCATGTCTTACACAGTAGTCAGCGCCCCCCAGTTGTAGCCTACAACCAGACCTAGACCTCCTTCCTCTACCCTAGAAAACGCCTAGAAAATTCCAGCGCTCCGACTTTGGCCAGTCCGGTGATCTCCGGGATATCACACGACGGTTTCAAGGCTGATGTTCTATTCTAGGCTGGTATCTGTAGCCCCAACTCTTCCTGACAGATCCACAGATTCTTCATCCCCATCGTTCACGGCTGGAAGTCTCGGGGGTGGACGGTGTCTACCGCCCCAAGTGTAACGTTCATCCAACGTAGCTCCTGCTTGTGCAACTGTCTGCCGGGCCGGACTGTCTAAATCACCCCAACCGCTACCTTGGTGGGCTGACTGTTCCGTTCGTCCGACTCCAGCCTTTGCCTCTCAAGTCGCGTTGCCAGCTGCCTATGCACGCTCCTGTTCCCCCTGTATGGTTGTGTGCTTGCATGGATAGACGCCGAAAGGCCTGCAGACTGGAGCCCGACGCCTGAATAAATGGGACGAACACACCCACACACTGCTTCCAGTTCCTCCGCTGTTAGAATACTCTAGTCAGAGGAAATGTAAAGGAATGACGAAAAGTTGGGCGTTTTCAAATCCACCTCGGAGACTATCCGCCCCTCGGCTGTGTGGCCTTGGTAATCCACTTGCAGGGGCTGGTTTGCCTACTGGAGACCTTTGGCGGGGGGGGGGGGGGG